TTTCTTGGCACCATCCTGCTTCTTGTAAGTAACTGTGGTATTTCACAGGCATCGCAGTGCGGGCTCCGCCACTGGCGTTTTTGCAGCAAGGCAGGAGCTTCTCCCGGCCCGGGGGTTCAGGCGGGTTGGGAAGCAGCGTCCCAGTGGCAGGCAGGACCAGCCGTGGCTGCGGGAAGCGGCGCTGCTAAAAATACAGCATTGTGAAACTGCTGGCACCTCCGTTTCCCTCCTCCGCCAGCTTGAGCCGCAGGATGTCTGCTTCGCTTTGACATGCCTGGCAAGCCCCCCTATAGCCAGGATGTCTTCCTCCTCCTCCTCCTCCCCCCCGCCAGGAAACCTATTTTGGAGAGGGGCGGAGGGAAGGGAGCAGGAGGAAGAGGGCTGGGGGCAGCGGAAGGGACCGGGGGGGTGATGCATGTCCTGGCATACACGAGTGTCTGGGGAGCAGCAGGCAAAGGTGGGGGCTGCTCGGATACGGGATGCCCTGCATTAAGGGGGGGAACAGGGACATTTCTTGCACCCCTAAATCATGGGAATTTCTTGTGGAGGGGGGGAGTGACTAAGCCATGAAAGACAGGCTTGTTCCCTTGCCCCACAGCTGGATCTGGGAAATTTTAGGGTGAACGGCATATCGGTTGGTGAGGCTCAGTCCAGGAGGGAGCCCCACTATGTGCACAGTGGATGGGGCAGCAAACCAGGGCTGCACACCTGCCATCATTGTGATGCTCAGACGGTGATACCCCATCATGTGGGGTACCACCCTATTACCTCTCAGGGGGCTGGGAAGCTGCCTTTTCCCTCCCCTAAGCAGCATCTGATGGGGGCTTTCCCCTGTCATGCCAAGCGGGAATGGCGTCCCTGCAAAAAGCAAGCCTTGGGCAGGCAGGATCCAGCTGGAAAAGTCTGGCTGTCTGTGGAAGAAGCAATAAATCTCTGGAAGCTGGAAAATAGCGGTAAAGAGGAAACACTGGAGCATGCTGTGCCGCCTCTGCTGTGCCGGCAGGCTGCTTGGGGCGCAATCTCCAGGGTCAGCCCCATCCTGGGCAGCACTAGTGATGTGATGGGGATCCTGTACTGTGGACTGGGTGCCCCTCTAGGCTCGCGGTGGATATTTGAAGGGGCAGGGAAGATGGAGGAGGTGTTATTTTCATCGAGGGGTTGTTTTCTTTTGGGATTTGGGGGGGTATGTCTGTGGGATTTTATTTTTTTCTTTTAATTTAAACAAAGGCATACAAAAGTGCAGGTAGAGGAAGGCAGCAGAATGAGAACTTAAAACACGCCAGAGCAAAGGGAAGTGCAAGGCTGTAAAAGTAGCTGAGAAAGCTAGTAGCACTTAAAATGCTGGAAAATAATCTGGATGCTCCGAGTTGGCGTCTGAGCAGTTGCTTGTTTCAGCGGCATCCACCTCTGCAAGCACCTTCGTGCTGGTAGGCGAAGGGCTGGCTGGGGAGGTCAGCTTGTGGAAAGCAGATCTAAGAGTGATGCAGTGCTGGCGTTGATGAAGTTGCAGCTTTTAGATTACCGCTTTCATTAAAGCAATCCCCAAAAATTTAAATGGAGAGCTGTACTGCACTCAGGGTATATCTGCAACGAGTGATGGCCCCAGCCTCTGAGACATTACTGTCTGGCTAGCCGGGCAAGCACAGAGCAATGAAGTAACCTGCACGAGATTGTGGATACCTACAAGGGAGAAAAAAAGGGATATTTAATGTATGAGGATACACAGCCTGGAGACCAGCTGCCATCGGTGGTTGGAGCTCTTCTTGCTCTCGTGTCAGCAAACAGCAGCGATTGTAGGATGGGGAGGGAAGAAAATACCAAGCTTGTATCTGGGACAAGTTGTGTTAAAAATGAGATTATTCCAAGCAAGCTGCAGTGGAAGGCAGGGTTACTGTGGCGAGCCGATGAGGTTTTCTCCCTCTTGTCGTCTTTCCTTTGGGAAGAAAGATGTCTTAATTATGTTCTGTGCTTCTTGGTGGTGGAAGGATGTATGGTTTTCATGGAAAAAGTTACTCATCGTAGCCTAAACCCTGTTTTCATTAGTAAGTGAACGTTGCTTTCTCTTAAGAAATCCAGCTGCTGTTGGATTAAAACTTCCATTCGGAGGTCCTCTGTGCTCTGTTAAAAAAAGCAAATGGAGTCAGGCGGTGCGGAAGGGACAGACGTGGGGTGTTCCTGGAGCGCATTCGGGCTGAAACCGGGAACATCTGGAGATGGTTCAGCTGGCTGCCATAGGCAGACCTCGCCGCTGGGGTGGGTTTGATGAGTCAGAAGAGGCTCTATCCCTTCAGCCGATGCTCCCAAATGATTAAGAAATATTTTGAGGATAGCTTGCAGCCTGCTTTCAGTTCTGTGTTGGGCGTTTTGGGGCAAATTTGATTGGAAAGCAGCTGCTGCTCCTCGCACTGGTGTCACCCCAGCCTCGCCGTGGGTGGCAAGGGGGTGTTGGGGTGGGTACTGCTGAGTGCAGTGGGCGGTGTGCCAGGGCAGAGCAATGTTTCCTTGCAGAGGGAAAACCAAAACAAAAAGGGCTGCAGTCTTTTCTTCACCTCTCCCAGCCAGCACAGAAACTCCAGTCTTCCTCAGGGTCTCTTCTCCCCTGGGAGCCACCGAGAGACCTTTACTTTAGGAGTGGCACTGATTAATTTGGGGACATTCTCCTTCTCCCAAGAGGATAAACACGGGCTTCATTATGCCCTCAGACAATGAACGAGCCATGCCAGGCTGGATTTGGGTAACTTTCTGCAAAGCCACGAGCTGCCTTATTTGGAGCTGGATTTGAGCACGGACCAGCTTTCGTGACTTTTCTGCATAGCCAGTGTCTGGAGAACCTTGGGCTCTCCCAAGTGCGAGAGGGATGAGGGACCGTGCTGGCAGGGAAGTTGCATTGGTTTCTGTGGGAGAAGTGTTAAAAGCTGATTATTTTGGTGACAAATTGTGAAAAGGCTTGTAAAATCTTCCCACCCTCTCCAGGGAGCTGGTGGGGATTTTCTTCCTCTGGTAAGTGGAAAAGCCCTGAGGTCAGCTTGCTCTGTGAGTTTTGCACAAATTGTGTGGTTTTGCCCCAACTTTGATGGCACGCCTGTAAAAATCTCTTGGCTGGGATTTGCAGAAATGAGCAAGGAGGAGAACCACCAGCTGACCTCCCGAGGGGCAAAGCCAGACTCCCACCAACAGCCTGTCTTGCAGATCCCAGTCCTCGTGCGTTCACCGAGGCTCTGCTGCGCTTGCACAACCAGTGACTTTGCACTTTTACTGAACAAACTCTTTTTTTTTTAATGTGACCTTCATGGTGCCTCTCATGCCTGTAGCCGACCTGACTCAGACCCTTTTGAAAAAAATCGTGTTTCCGCTTCTGTCCTCTTTGGTAGTTATCTTCCCTTTTTTAAGACTAATGGCTTCAAGGATTTAGGACACTCAGAATTAAACTGGCATGTGAACAGGTTCTTCCAGCCTTTCACAGAAGTGATACTGAATTCTTAAGGGTTTGTTTTGTTTTTTTTTACGTGTGGTTTTTTATTTTCCCCTCTCATGGTTTTAAATGGAAGGGGGGGGGGTTGTCATGGAGAACACAGTGAGTCCTGCTGGAAATGCTCTCGCTCAAGTTCCTCTCAGTGACACCTTCCCCGCTGCAGTGCCCCAGTCTGCTCCCATCCTCCACTGCCATTCTGCACCCCTCCCTGGAAGAGAAAACAGTGAGGAATTCAGTCATAAAACTTCCCATTATTTGGACATAAATATTCCTGTGGTAAGCTGGGTTGATGCTCCATACGCTGAACATCTCCCATGTTTGAAGCATGTTTTTATCCTTCCCGTGGGGGCTCCGTCATGAATGTCTGCATGCACACATGTGTGCGAGTACTCTGTTCTTCTGCTGGACAACAGCGCGGGCAAGGCAGCGGTTTCAGCCTTGTTGGCTCATAGAGCTGCTCAGCTCTGTTGAGCATCTTCATGGTAGCCTCCAAAAGCGGTGTGGTTGTGCCTTGGCCTGAACCAAGGCTTTGCTCTGCTTTAGTCCCTGTATTAGGACGTTAAGGAAAGCCGTACGTGCCGGAGGAGTGGGAGAGCGTGGTCCCAGCTCACAGCCCACCCACGGGGACCTGCGTTACGGTTTCTCTTTTTCTATCACGTTATGAAATTAAACAGGCAGTGAACTGAGCAGTGGAAGTGATGGTCACAGGGGTTCCCGTGCTCATGGGACACCTTAGAAGAAGACTAGATATTAATCAAAGTGATGCTACGAGGGCAGCTGGTGTGAATCCTTGTCTGTCCCCTCCTGATGTGGGACATCCCTGAGACCCATGGGGAGGGGAGTAATCGGACATAACACAAAGATGCTGCTGGAAATGTTACCAAGTCCCATTGAGTGTGGTTTCTTAATCTGTGTGCTCCTAAACACTGTGCTAAATGTCAAGATGTGGACATCGTGAAGAGTGTGTTTTGGGGGGGTTGGAGGCATTTTGCATCCCCTGTGAGTGGATGCAGCGGCAGTTCAAAGCCACAACGTCTCTGCTCTTGCTCTGCATTACTAGCAGTTTTACTGCCTTTTGGTGTCGTGCTGGTTGGACAAGTCTTGCCCGAGGCAGAGCAGCTTTTGGGGGTGCAGAAAGCTCGGTCCCACTAGGTCTGCTCAGGCTGGAAGCTTGACCCTGGATAGGAAGTAGTGTGCACGCAAGACTCGGGGCAGAGGGAAAAACTGACAGTCCCCCCACTTTTTGAGCCACAGTCTCCTTGTCCTTCCTACCCAGTTCTCGGCAGATCAAACAAAACCCAAACCCCTGTTTGTATATCACAGAGAAATGAAATGGGGTGAAAACAGCCCGTTGGGAAAAGGGAGTAATTGGGGCTGATCCTAACTTCTTGAAAAGCTCTCCTAAAAGCCTCAGTCACACATCTCATGCTTCTTGGGTAAGGCTGAGCCTTCCATAATAGAGTAATAAAATAGCTCTTAGGAAAGAAATCACCTGCAGGAACTGGAAAGGGCTTTGCACATCCGCAGAATGAGGGGTCTTCTCATAAAGCAGGGAAGATTGTGTGGCTCATGTGGTATGGGGCACAAAGCATGTTGCAGGGGTGGGACGATGGTTAGGAAGGATGTTCTTGTACATGAAAGGAGTAAATAAGAATTTGCGGAAAGATGAAAAGCAAGCCTTCTGCTCCCACCTGAAAACTGCCACGCGGGGTCCGGGGCAGCTGGAGCAGTGGGTAACGCCTGCTTCCCTCTGCTTTCTCCCCAGCTGGCTGGAGGCATCATCCTGGGAGTGGCCCTGTGGCTCCGGCATGACTCGCAGACAACGAATATTCTCTACCTGCAGCTGGGGGACAAGCAGGCCCCCAACACCTTCTATGTCGGTAAGTAGGTCTGGGGATGCTGGCATTGCTGCGTGGGCGTTGTGCCCCAGGGTGGACCGCAGTGTGCCCAAAAGCAGGGTGGGAAGCTCTGGGTAAGCAGCAAAGAGGTTGGACTAAAAATACGTCCTGCTTCCCCCGTACTCCCCAAAATATCCCCTACCATGCCAATCAAAGCGTTCATTAAATGTTGGCTGTGGCCCAACTGCAGAATCCAAGGTCAAGGCAGCTAAAAGTGCAAAAAGACATGTCGTGGCATAACAAGTTTTCTCCAGTGCCGTTATCCTCTGCGGTCTCCCCCGGAGCATGTTTGGGAAGAGGGGGGACTTCTTGGAATCGTGTCTCGTTTCCTATCCAAAGGGATGTAAAAGTAGCTGATGGAGTGGCTCGGCGAGCTTGTGACTCATGTTCTCCAGGAGGGACAGGTGGAGCCTCTGTGTGTTATGGTTAAGCTTAGCATGATTTTTATTAATTTGACAGCATGCTGGCTTGCTGGGATATGAAAACCCCTATTTTTGCCCTATTCTCCAACAATCCATCGCAGACGAGGGGGAGCAGCTTGCAGGAGGGGCTGGCTGCCAGGCAGGGGCTTGGAGTGCAAGCTGCTGGGGCTGCGGACCCATCTGATCCAATGTCCTGTTCTCACCTGTAGCTGAAATTACCTTCTGGAAAGGGTTTTCCTTTGGTTTTCCCTGCTTGCCCATGAAACGGCATGCCTGAGACCTCTCCCTGGCTGTGCCTGGTTACAGTAGATGCTCCTGCTGTAAATAGCAGTGGGTTTTCCTCTCTTGCTGTCTCCCCTCTCCTACCTCACACTCAGAGCTGTATTTACAGCATTTCCACTTTGTAGATTTTCGATTTTAAAAAGAGAAAGGGGAACTCTTAAGAAGTTAAACTGTCTCCAGCAACCAGCCCAAACATCTCCTTCCTTCTGGGGGCCAACAACTGATGTCTCCCTAGTTAACATATTTCTCCCAAAACCTGGCGGACCTGGAACGCGGGGGCCGAGTCCTCCCCTCCCGGCTCTTGGGCATCTGTTATTCTTCCACTCTTTTTTGTTTTTGTCTTTGTCCTCGGCCTTTGCTATTTAGAAGGCGATGGGGAATGGACCGCAGGTCCTACCACCACGCTGGCTTTCTGACGCTCATGAACAGCCCATGATTTGATGCTGGCTGTCTTTTTAAAGTTATATTCAGCAATGCGTCGGCCTGGATTCCTTCTGGCAGCTGTAATTTCCATGCAGTAATAACAGCAGAGCATTTCTTTCAGCTGCTGCCTCTCCCAGCCAGCCCTCTGGAGTCTGAAGGCTGGGATTTCTTTTTGCTTTTCCTTTTTTTTCCCCTTCCCCCCCTCCCCCCCCCTCCCCTTCCTTCCCTTCCCCGCAGCTACCGCCATATTCTCAACATACACATGCACACAATGTTCCTGCTTCGGGAGCGGGAATCTCTCTGCGGTTGGCCTCCAGAGCTGGTTTCCCTGTCCCCCCCCCTTGCAAACCACTTTTTGGTGTCTGGCGCAGGGTGCTGGTCCCAGGATCTGTCAGGAGGCTTTTAAAGGCCAGCCAGGCTTTGCCATGGCGCTGCAGGACAGGGGGAAGCAATAAAAACTGTCAGAGGAGGAAAACTTGCGCTGTGGGGTTTGTACTTGGTGAGGAGGCGGAGTGGGAAAGCAGCGCTTTGGTGTCTCCTGGTTTCTCTCTCTGTCCTTTCCCCTGCCCTAAAGTTAAAGCTGTTTTGTAAAGGCTGTTTTCCCAGGATGTCTGTGTGTTACAGGAGAGGAAAAATAATTAACACAGCTGGTCAGTGTGTGGGATTTGACAGCAATGGGGAAGTGGGAGAAGGAGGATGTGGGGACCAGGGCACCTACTGGCGTACCAGGTGTGATGCTTATCTGCCTTCAGCCTGCTGCAGGGCTTGATCTCTCCTCAGAAACAAGGCAGGTTTTCACCACGGCGAGCTGACGCTCAGGTCTCTTGGTTGCAGCTCTCGTTCGCGGATCAGGCTTCCTCCAGGCCAGAGTTTGCTGCCAGCGAAGGGGAGAGCTGCTTGGGAAAGAAAGGGTCCGGTCATGCAAGGGAGCAGGACGAGAGAAGCTGTCCTTGCTCTCAGCTTTCCCTGCAGCCGGATGGCCGCAGGCAGCTGCTCTTGCAGCCTCTGCAGGCACAGGCAACTGTTCCCCTGCTCACCCGTCCAGCCCGCGAGGAGGGAGCTCCTGGGGTTGGGATTTCCTGCAAGTGGTACCACCCCCCCGGCACTTTGGCACGGCATCCAACGAGTTGTCTTGTGAGCTGGCTTGGGAGGGTATTAAACGAGCTCTTGTTCGTGGGCTTTTCCTCAGCACGGCTCGCAAACCATCTGATCCCCTAACCACTTGTTGCAGTCTTGGCTTTTGGCACTTCCATTTTGGCTGTGGACCCAATGCTCCAGCAAATGGCAAGTTAACCGCTTCAGCGCTGTAAAGACCAAGCAGTACCAGGGATGGAAATAGCTGGAGCACCATAGTTTCATGCTTTCGTGACTATGAAGGAAAATACTTGTTCTTCATCAGAGCTAGGCTTATGTTCTAATATGCATTTGTTTGCTTTTTTGTAGTTGAAAAACTAAAATCCTTCTTGCCTCTTGCCCTTGCATAACACTGTGTCTGAAGTGCTCTGCATGTCTGGAGGCCGGGCAAGGTGTTGACAGCAGGTCAGAAAACATGCTTCAAGATAGCTAGAGGCATTGATAAGTTGGATGCTAACAACTGGTTAACCACTTCTTAGATATTTATTGACCCTACGCATAAAGTACCATTTAAAAAAAAAAAAAAAAAAAAGTGATTCAATGAGTTATGAGAGCCCATGGGAAGAGGCTGAGCTGGTCCATCCCTGCGGATACCAGTACAAACTGGAGCAGTCTGATCTCTCCACAGTAAGTTGGTGCTGCAGTGTCACTGGTTTTAGGAGCCCCTGGGGATCTTGAAGAGGCAAGTGACACTGGACTTACTGCTTTTGCCCCATCTCGGTTTCATCTGGATTTCACATTTCCCCCCTTGCTGGGCTTGCCTGTGCGCTGGGAGCATCGCCAGGCGCTCATCCCCGCTGCTTGCCCTTCCTGTGCTTTCCCTGAAGCTGCCCAGCAAGCAGTGGAGCGCGGCAGCCGGATGGTCTCGGCTTCGCTCTCGCCCGCCAGATCCAAAATAGGAAATCTGTGTCCAGTTGCTCGCAGCAAGTGACAGGGCGACATGACCCGCAGCTCTAATTAGCTCAGCCCTGGGAGTGGGGCCAGCAGCAAGGAAGAGTGCAGAGGCATCCAGAGCTGGGGTGCGGTTTTCTGTGTAGCTTTGGGGGTGAGGAGCGGGTTGGTTTTGCTTCTGTTTAGTTTTTTCATGTTTTATTAGTAAATCCTCTGCTGGCCAGTGTCTCCTCCCCGGAGCATGGTGGCACGGGCCCTCCTTGGGAGGGGTGTAAGGTTTCAGACAGGCATGCAATGGTGGGTTAAACTTGGACACAAAGGCTGCTGCTGCCGCTCCCTTTTTCCACCGTCCTGCTCAGTATCGCTGCCCCGATAGAAAGGCAACAGGTTTTTTTTATTTTGGGTTTTTTTTTTTTCCCCCATAGCAATCAGGCTGATGATTGTGGATCTGGCTCCCGAGCAGGTCAGGCAGCGAAGCCTGGGGGAGGCAAGGGGGAGACAGCTAGGGGCAGCAACGGCTTCGGGCTAATTTTAAGGTCATGATCATGCCTGCGAAGCAGTGTGCTGCGGTAGCACTGGAGGGAAGACTGGCTAATGGGAGAGCAGGCTCTCTAGTGAGGTGAATCACAGACTCTCTTCACCATCCTGCTCCGTACAAATACAATCCAGGATAATAATTTCTGCCCTGGAAATGAGTTCAGGCTGCTTTTCATGCAGACTGGGCTGGAAGAAATGGGCCAGAAAGCACAGGGATTCTTTGAAGTCTTTCTCGCAAACGAGTACGCATCCGAATTGAACTGCAATCACATCTGCACACTTGTCCTTGAAGTCAGTGCAGTGTCTATCACTGGCAAGCTTTCGTGGGTGTCCTCAGGATTTTTGGAAGTACTGTCGTGAGGCTTTGCTGGCCTCAGGGGGGTCTGACCCTCGCAGAGAGGAGGGACTGCCGAGCGGCAGTGCGGGACGCCTGCCTGAGCTTCCCCAGGGCATGCCTACGGACAGTATGTGAGGATGCTTCGGCCACTCTTGCTGTGGGTCCCAGATGTAGCCAGCAGTGCAGAGCATCCCGGCGCATCATCCAAACAGGCTTGTGTTGGCTAAGCAGTCATGGAGGAGCTGCCCCTCCTATCCATAACAGCAGCTTTTTTCCTTAATTAGCCTTTTCAGGACTGCCTTGGACAAAAAGCAGTGATGTCCAGGGTTCGAGAGATGTGGTTTTTGTTGCAGAGGGGGTTGCACTGAGCTCTTGTGTGGTGCAAATGTTCTGGAAGCCAGCAGTGCTAGAGTGAGTGCGGACCTGCTGTGAGCAATGGGGAGTTCTTGGTTTCTCTTTATGCTCCCATCCTTGTCCCCATCCCTCCAGAAATATTAGGCATCTTTCAAAGGTGGTGCCAGCTTCTGTGTATTGTGGGGTTAGACTCAACAGCAAATCTTTTGCTAAACTTGGGAAAGGGCTAGAGAAGAGCCCAAGAGTCCTGGTCTCTAGGTCCTGTAATAAACACTAGTGGGTTTTTTACCAGCTTCTGTTTTGGCGTGAAGCGCTGCAGAGATCCCTGTGGATGCGCACAGCTGGGTCAGCACCGGGTTCTTCTCTCACCCGTTTGTGCTCTACTTCTTCAAGGCTCTGTGTGTCAGTGGTTTACCAGTAGAGACACGAGCTGTAGCCAGGCTTGCGTGCTTGGGAGAGGAAACCGAGGTTTACATTTGGCCTTGAACTACAGTGAGCAAAATGTATTATTTAAAAATTAATATATATGTGGATTTTTTTTTTTAAATAGAAGTACATGCATTTTTCTCTCTTGGAAATAAACTTATTTACAGTTAAGGGCA